AGAGAAGCCACACCCAAACCACATTCACACCCCGACCGCCCCCCCTTTCTCCTCCTCCTCCTCCTCCTCCTCCTTCTCCCTCTCTCCCGCTGGCCTTTGCGCCACAGACGGCGAAAAAAACATATCGGAGAGGGGAAGCCAAGTGCGACACAGTGATAGCTGGAAGTTGAGGTCTCAGAGGAAAGAGAAGCTCCACTGGATCGGCTGTTCCTCCTCTCTCCGTCCTTACAGCGTGTCGACTGCTGCTCCCGCTCCTCCTGCTGCTGCTGCTGCGGTGCTGGTGGTGGTGGCAGTGGAGGTGGTGTTGGTGGAGGTGTGGGGCTGGAGATATAGCCCAGAACAAAGGAGTCTTGAAGCAAGAAATGAGCGAGCCGAGACTAGCCTTGCCAGAACATTTGGAACTGGGCCAAATGCCTCTCTGAGACCGACGATACTACCTCGGCTGCTCGCATTTCTCGACGAAGCTTCCCGCATTTAAAAAAGGGGGAAAAAGAAACAAGAAGAAAAAAAGAAGAGGAACATAACCCACTGAGACTCACAAGTCGGCGGCCACTATGTTTCCTCAAAACCGACCACCGGTGAGTAAGCTACGCTTCATTGAAACAGTAAGACATTTAAACCATTTTTCTTCTCTTCTATCCTAAAACTCAACGTGTTTGTGAGCAGCTCTGGCTTTTTGGAGCTCTTATACAGAAGATGAGTTTGCCTTTGTCGTTTTATGGCGTATTTCCACTGTGGGAAGGCATTAAAAGTGTCATGTGCATCATAGTATCTCATATGACTTTGCTTTGGCGCTAAGAGTAATTTTAGTCTCATGAAGGTCAGGCAGAAATGGTCAGTCGGGGTTTATGGAGTGAAAGCCGCGGTCAAACAAGGCTAAACTTTGCTGAGTGTCTTTGTGTGAACGTGTGAAGCTCATGTCCTTGGTCGCCGACACCGCCACCACGAGTCCACGTTCCACCAAAGGGTTGTAAACACGGCTTTTCCATCCACCTTCTTTCTCAGGAGGATGAGTTGACCCAGATGATGAAGAGTGTTTGTCCCCGTCCCTCATGGGCTGTGAGGAGGGGAAGTGAGTCAGCTTGCCTTGTTGACACCATCACTCAACAGTCTGCCCTTCTCGAGTGCCACTCGTTTTCACATAAAAACTGCTTTTGCTCTTATTATTAATTTCTGTTCAATCATACGAGAGTGCTTCACACTAACAGTCTGACGGACAATCAGCAATCAGAACCATTTTATACAATGTGTGAAGTAAATACATTGCTTAAAAAAAAGAAAAAGTTAGTTTGATTTTCATGTTCTACTCAGGGAGATTCGTGGGAGATTAGGAGAGAAATCCGTGGAGCGTGGCCTGAATTTGTTTGTAGCCGAGCTAGGTGGAGGGCTTTTGAGCGGATTGAAATACATAAACACTGGTCCTCCAACTGTGCGAAGTATCAATTATGACCTACTCCTTTGCCTAACCCTTATTTACATGCCCCAGTCATACTGCCCTGCACCCTGTCTGTGACACTCTTTTAAACCCACCTTTCATGCGTAACACCAGATGAAATATGTTTTTATTATGTGGACACTACTCAGGTTAATAATCAAAATCCTATTCATCAATAGCACTGCTCTCAATCTGGAGCTTTACATGGGGGAGAAATCCTGGATTTCTACTGCAGTACAGCAGCGTAACTTCCATTTCAACCTCAACTTCCTTTAAGCGACAAAGGGATTTTGTCCCCTCTATCCAAACATACAGCACATGCACAAACATCACACACACCAACAGCAGCTGTGTATGTAGTGTAGCTGACTGCAGGAAGGCAAGGCAGGAGGCAGACTGTGGCTCTGTGGTTTACACTGTAAACCCAATCCCTCTCATCCAGCCTCTCCTTGCTGTGTTCCTATGAGAGCTCCAAACCACATCTTAATGTATGGGCAGGCGTCCCAGGGTGAGAGGAGCAGACTGTGGCGGGTCTGGGGAGAATGTTTAGGCCAGCGGTACCATTTCATTTCAACTCCTCGCAGATCTCAACAGTACCGTGGTGGGTACCCACTGAAAGATTCCGATGTTTGCACCTCAAAGTAAAGGGCCACTCCCGCTGGAACACCGTTTAATCTCTGATATTTAAGGCCAGCGGTGAGCTGTCATCACTAGATATGTGTGTTCTGTTGAGAACACGACTTATCGTCAAGAAAAGTACGTGGCTCAACATTATCAAAACATTATTTTGTCTATAATCAGTTGATGATTGATCAATTATTCTCAAGTCCCACAGCAGTTTAGGTGATTAACTTTGTTGCTGTTATGGATAAATAATTGAACTGAAATATTCAACATTTTAAATCCTAAATCTAAATCATCCATATTCATAAGATCCACATTCATAGCATCAAAGCTGTGAGATTCAATTCTTGCCACTAACATGTATCAAGTCAAAGTCAAACAACTCTGCCTCCTGTCACACTGGAGTTTCAGATACCACCCACAGCACATTGATTGACTTCCTATGTGTGTATACAGGATATCTTTGCAAATTGCCTGGTGGTGCTATAAGTGTAGCTGTAGTCTGTAAATGTCCTCTGGTCCTGACGCAGCAGTATATCTGCCATGGCCTGTATTTGAAAGGACTGCCTCTTGGGTTTATATCTTATATCTGGACTGCCTCTTGGGTTTATATCTTATAAGGAATTAAGTTTCACTAAACTTCACATCCCAGAAAGAATAAAGGAAAGGCAGAATTTTCCCCCAAAAAATATTATTTTCAGAAAAACCCTAAATTGTTTACGCTTTTTTTTTTTAAACATCATCTTGAACATTCATGATTGCAATGTTGAGGAGAACTGGCTGTGGGTGCAAGTCTTGGTGGGTCAGCAGCTTCTGAAATCTTGCTTGGGTGCACCTTATAGAGATATTATATTTTATCTATTTTATATAGTTTATATCATAACATTAACTAAGCATCTGATATATGATGCACCATCTGATGCTGTGACAAATTAAAAATTAACATTTAACCAAGCAAATAACCAGATCTAGCATTTAAGGGTATTTTAAGTTTTTATTGTAACCCTGTCCTGTGTCCACTGTCCCTTCAGTGCTAACATGTAGCTTTTGTCATTTGCTTTTGTCTGTTGTTCAAATACTGTGGTCACTTTAAGATTTCTACCACTGAGACGTGTCCACCAGGATCATGATTTAGATTTTTTTTGTCCCACTGCTGTCCCACCAAAATCCAATCCCTCTCAGTTATTTTGCAATGTGATCTTGTCACAAATGAAAGTTTTGGGCTATAAACACGAAGCAGGTGTAAATACTGACCATATAGAGGTCATGCTATTATGTTATTATCTAACATGTGTTCCAAAAAGTGTAAATACTGACCATATAGAGGTCATGTTAGATAAGTGTTCCAAAAAGTGGAATTTTTTTTTCTATTTATGTTAAAACATGAACAGGTTTGTAAATAATCCTAGTTGTGTCATAGAATTGAGAAATGACAAAAAAAGCACACGTGTAGAGGAAAGTGCAGCCTGAGCCTTATTAATTATAAACATAAGACCACTTGAATCTAAATGACTTCCTCTGTCCTCTCACTTAACATTTTTCTGTATGGACACACCTGACAGAGATGGGTTCCTCACTTTATCCTCAGTGCTAGTAAACAGCAGACCTTCACTTCCTGAATCCTACCATGCTTTTAGCTCTTTATCGCCACTGTTATGCACTGGGAAGAGTGTCTATCGATCAGGGGTCTGCCTGCCTGCCTGCCCGCCATGCACAGGAGACAGGGAGAGAGAGAGAGAGAGATAGAGAGTGAAAGAGAGAATGAAGGAAAAGAGGCTGAAGGGATTTCAGGTTTACACAAGCTGTTGTGAAGGTGTGTCTCTCTGGAAGGAACAAATGAGCTGAGGGGGTTACCTAATAAAAGAAGGCACCTCCAGCAATTAAGGCAGCTGACAGGCAAACTGTGGCGCTTCGCTAATGTGGGCTGACAGCAGGGAAATTTGAATAACAGGGCTTGCGGGAGGAAGGAGAGAGGAATGAGGAGGTTGGGGGTGGTGTTGCTAATGAAACAGGTGCCTGGCAGACCCTCTCCTCTAAGCACAAAAATCACTGAGTGATTATGAGCACAGTTCTTTGGCACATGGTGAACCCACAGACCATAATTTGAACCATTAACGGTACAAACCAGGGATGAATGTGGATGTCATCTTTTTGGACTCCCTTATCAGCCATATATTATCACATATTTTTATGGCTTGTTCGAGGCATGCGTTGTATTTAAACATCCAGAAACATTATTAGTTGGTTTGTCACAGGCTCCAGGGTTCAGATGAAAGAGGCAGAGAAAGACAGAGAGCTGGGTGGGTGTTTACTCTGATGATTGACTCTGCGGGTGAGCAGTGTAATTAGTGGCCTGACTAATGGTCTGAACTATATGAACGAGGCAGCGGCAGCAGCATCTCCTCAGCCAAAGACGATGGACTGAGACATCAAGCTTAGATGAAATGAATTAAAAAAACACCCCTATTTGATGATGTATTTTTAGCCACACTAGTGACAGGGCTCCGTGGTAGACACAGAGAATTGATCGCTGCTGACTACATCTCAACAACTGTTTGGAGGATTTTGTCAATGTGGAATTGTCGGTGGAATTGTCTATAATGAAAACTATTAGATTTGTCGCAGTGACATTTGATATAGAGTTTTATGATTCCAGCACGACACGACTCATTTCAATATTATTTAAGTTAAATTTTATCTAGTGGCAACATGCGAATTGTAAATAGTGGTTAACGATAATTATAGGATACGGAGGACAAACACTAACTTGGATGTTCAGCCAAGTTATACACACAAACAGATACTGTCCAGCCCCTCAGCAACAATACAAATGGTTTGATTGTTAAAGAACTCTAATGTTCTTTATTCTATTTCTGTGCTCAAAATGTATTAAAATGGAACAGGAATATGAGAATTCTCCTGGGAGTAATGTTTTCATCCCCTGCAGTGATAGGCAGTGAAACACAGGGTCACATTCATTTTAGTGAAAATAATATTCCCAAGGTCAAACAACCACATCATAGCAGTGAGTGACCCACTTCAATCCCATTAACAAACTACCTATCGCTGTGAGTAATTGTTTGTCAAGGAGACTGAGGTCCTAGTATCAGATTCCTATTGTTATTGACATTGGAGCCGTCAGGTGTGCATACAATAAAGAGCACGTAGGCCTGTAAGAAAGGCATTGTGCACAAATCCTCAGGTGTGTTTTCATGGATATGTGTCACTCTATAGGCTCATGGTGTGTCTACCCTCATGTGGGAGGGCGGGGGAATGGGGAGTGATGGGATGTGGATTATTTTTCTCTATGCAGATGTGAGTGTAAACAGAAAACAGAAATTACTGATACCAAGTTTTATTTTCAACATTCTCTGGACATTAAATGTTATGTTACATAATGGTATCTCCCTCACCTTTGGACAGATACAATGCGAATAGAGACTAGTAGTTCAGAAGTAAACAACAAAGTGGAAAAATACTTTTTCCAAAGTAAAACTTTGGAAAATGAATGTTTAATAAAGTTGAAATTGAGTCAACGTGTGGAATACTTGGTTACTGCCAACTACTACTATCAATCATGCCATGAAATGAAATCATTATATCATATACTGTTAATTTTCAAGATATACATGTCATACTTGTGTTTTTTTCTCACTGTGTGTGGAACATACAGCACAGGCCAACATGGGAGCTGTTATGTGCTGTAGTTGTTTCTGAGCAGTTGGCATGTTTAAAACAGCATTATTGGATTGATCCCTCTGCCCCACCCCACTAAAGGGATGTGGGATTTGATTTGAATAATTTCTATCCCCAAAGATGACTCATTTGCTCTCTTGCTTTCAACCCCTCATCATCAGCCCCTCATTTAATCATCGCAATTGACTTGCACCTCTCCGGGCAAGGAGAGAGATTATTGTAAATGTGTGTGCGTGTGTGTGCCCACATCTGGTGCAGCAGGGTCACATCTGGGGATTCAGTATTGAGCCTTAGATGGCCTACAGCTTTCTCAGCTGGCTTTAGCAAATAAAACAGATTGTACCAATATCGGTAGAAAACAGTGCTCGTATTTGTTGTTTTTAAACATTTGTGATGGTTTATTGCCAAATTCCCATCTTCTTTTTGGCCTGCTTTCACCCTTTCTGTAGTAAAACCATCTGAAAGATCTGTATTTACAGAAAATAATTTAAATACATTAGAAAATAATTTTAATAATAATTTTAACTTAAGTGTTAGTTTACCAGGTTGATTTTTCTAAAGTTGTTTGATTTTTTTTTTTTTAATCTTTATTCTACCAATTAATAACTAAAATCTAACCGCAGAAACAATTGGCTTATGTCTGCTTCTTTGTGTTGCAAGTCATTCCTCTGGGCCACATACGCTACATAGTTAAGAACTTTGCCAGCATGAGGCAGTGTAGCAGGAGAGTTCTGTGTCAAACTTGTGGCTTTATAAACTCTTAATTTACATTCTTCTATTCCCATGATCTAACCATCAAACATGTGGCGTTGAAGACGTGTTGTTGTCGGTCAGTCACATAACATCTGTCTCTGTTTCCTTTTATTAAACAAAGATAAAGAATTGTTGCAGTTTTACGTCACATCAAAAATGTAAATGGTAAAACTATTAAAGATAAAAAATACAGTTTCTTCAGCCCTATAATTTATAACATTTTTTATAATAAGTGAGAAACAGTCACTTTTTATTCATGATAACCTTCCTTGGTAAACAATATAAATACTGGATATATACAACAGTCAAATTCTGTGTGAGGCACATGTACATCAATTTCTAATTTATAAACAAAATAATTGACCAACTTACCAAATCTAACAATATATGACACTATGCCAAATCCACAGTGTGTATGTACTGTACACTAGGGTGTACTGACACAACTGTTTGCGGGCACCATGTAAAAATGGCAAAAGAAAAATGCTGCCATAATTGCCATGTTTAGAGGTGAAAAAAATTACAACTCGCACGCACAACACTTTCACTGCAGCTGACAAGCAGCTGGCATGTATACGCAGTTCCTGCGTGGGATGACATTAGTCATCATTTTAAATAGAAATCCAGAAGACCTTTTCAGAGGCGTAGCACATACACTGCAGTGATTGATTGTTTTATCACTGGCTCATTACATGGACTCCTGCAGCAGATGGCCATGTGGCAGACATGTTCTGTTCCAAATGTTTAAATGAAATGAGGATGTACGTACATGCATGTGAGCCTGTGTTGCAGCTAGAAGCTGGTTAATTTTGGTTTAATTTTACCCGTGTCTTCTCAACTTCTGGCTGGCAGTGGTCAGGGTAAACATACAGTCACTGTGAACGCTTTAACTGACGGCTAACCACACTAGTAACACATGCTGATTTCACCACGAAGCCAAAAGCAGCAAAAGCTTCCATTAGCTTTGGCAACATCACAAAGTGTGGCCCACCGTCTTTGAATACAATGTGGCCAAACAACTGCAGGTGGACATTGTGTGCCCAATGTGTAGATGAGCTCTTAAGCTAAAGAATTTAAAACTAGGCTCCATACTGATTAGTAGGATATCAGAGAAGGGAATGTTTTTTTTTTAGTCTGTGTCTTTTTTAAAAAACAATCTGTGTTGTCTGCTCAGAATCCTCAGAACAAAAGGCCCTAACTAGCAGATCAGAGTGTCTAACATCTGTGGTGACTGATACAGCAGCTAGATGTTGGTTTATTACACCTAAAAAATATCAGCCCCTTCTTCAGCTGTAGAGGTGAAAAGATAGTCTAGCTCTTTCCTGGTCTCTGCTCCATCTCTCACCTGTCCTCTAGGCAACACGGTTGAGTGGAGAAATTAAATCTCTGGAAAAAAAAAAATAAAAGAGGAGGGGAGGGAAAGGGATGATTAAAAAAGTCAAGAAAAAAAGATAGGCCATGCTTTTCTTGTGACTGCCCCCCAGACCCCCACCCTCCTGTAAAATGGCCTTGGTGCTCTTTTCTACGCTTAAAAAGAATAATTGCTCTCTCTCTCTCTCTCTCCCTCTCCCTCGCTTCCTCTTCCTCTTTTTCTTTCCTTGTTTTTTCATCACTATCCCTCTTTTTCTCTGTGTGTGAGAGAGAAAGAGAGTGGGGGAAGAGAAAGAGGTCGAGAGGAAATGTGCATGCGTTCCAATCATGTGTGTGTTTTAATCATGGTTCCCTGTGAGAATAAAGTGTGTGTGTATATGTGTGAGCAAGGCTGGCAAAATGCGTGTGTATTTTGTGAGGGTAAGTGTGGGTAATGGTGGGTTGGTACAGGCAAGAGAAGTAAGTGTGTGTGTGTGTGTGAGGCTGTCTGCTGTAGAAGGAGGATCTGGTGGACAGATTGAGAGCAGCTTGTTAGAAAGAGGAACAATGAGGCCACAGCCCTCTCTCCAATCATTTTTTTTCCTTTTCTATCTTGTCTTCTCTGATCTTTACCTTTTAATCTTTTCGTTTTTCCCTCTCACCCAATATAGTGTTTTGAGGTATTGGCACATTTTTGTTTGTTATTTCTAAGTAACATTTTTAATTTTGATGCACATCCATTTAAACAATAATTTAAATGTCTATTATTACATTTTATTTTAAAAGTCAAATGTCCGGTTTAATTTTGTTGTGTGTTTTCACCGGCTAAAAAGAGAGAAATGTTTGATTTATCATCCATCATATTTTTCTATCCGTTAGTTATTCTATAATGATAATAATAATGTAATATCGTTCTGTCCTTGTTGACTTGAACGTGGAGACAGTGAGGTGTTCTGTCTTTGGTCTAGTTGGCTTCTCTGTTGTCTTATTTTGACAGTAGGCCAGGCAGACAGACACAACCACAGCCTCCAGCCATTCTCTTAGTCCAGTGCACAGCCCTCTTTTGTCTCCCTGTCCTGCAGCATTATCGCTGTGGTTGTAGTCCCCTAATTGCTCCAGACCCCGCAGAGGCGGGAGGCTCAGCACAGTGGGTTGGCAGGGGTCTCCAGGCATGATGAGGTCCCTTTCTTTCCCACAATTCTCCCTCCCACTCCTCTGTTTCTTATGGTTTACAGCTCTTCAGGCTTGTAATAAAACACTGCTCATTTGGCTAAAATATCTCCTGTCATCTCCAGCTTCCTTACTGTACGTCCATTTTGACGATCTATTCGTGGTTGTCTCCGGTGATGACAATTTCTCACAAACAGGCCTTTTTAACGTGTTGGACAGGTGGACATTTGGCACATGAGTTGGCTTCCTTCTGAGCTTGAAGAGAATGCTTGATAAGAGCTTTTCATGTAGCAGATGAAATATCTGAGGCTGTACAGAGTGTTTGTAGTTTGACAGAATACTACAACCATCTGTCCATCCATCCTCCACTGTTTGATCAGGGTCATGGGGGGAGCTGGAGCTTTTCCCAGCTAAAACGGGCCAAAGTGGGGGCACACGCTATGGCTGCCACCAGTCTCTTGCACAGGCTCAATTGGATACACAACCCTTTTGCTCATTCATATCCATGGTCAGTTTAAAGAGGCAGAACACCTCTTTCCAAATCTGCAAGTATGTAGACTTTGGGTAACATTTGAAACAGGTTTTAGTAGAGACCAAAAAGGCTGAACTGTTTTCTTTTTGTCTTTTTTTATATTCATATCCCTAAATAAGTTATTGCTTCTATTTCCAGGCACCTTTGCAGCCACCTCCTGGGTCTTCAGCCTCAGTGGTGGCGGCAGCGGCGGCAGCTGCAGCAGCAGCAGCGTCAGGGACGCCCCAGTCGCTAAAACTAACCTACCCAGAAACCTTGGACCGCATTAAAGAAGAGTTCCAGTTCCTGCAGACCCAGTACCACAGGTAAGTCTTTTAGGCTTTTGTTTTCTTTAAATACACATTAAAATCTTCATCTGACCTGGATGATTTTACAGCAGTCATAATGCAGTGTGTATAAACTGGAGGTTTCATGCTGCTGTGTGACAGTCTCATTCTCCAGTCAGGTTTGCTGTTCTTCTCTGTGACCTCCTCATGTAACAGTCACACGCTCTAATCTGAATGACCCAAGGCGACTCCATACATGCCCAGTTAGTGGGCACTGAAAACATTACACTCCTATTGTGCAAATGTCTTCCAAAGAGCCTGAGGCAACAGAAGGCATTTCTCTTCACAGACGTTCAGACTGTGCTTTTAATACTTTTCAACTGACAAGAATCTGTTAACAAAGAGCTTTCATATGAATAGGAAATCATCAGATTTACACTCCTGTACAAGTCAATCTCATTATTATTTACTCTTACGTCAACATTTTAGTTAAAAAAAACAATGCTATAAAACACAGAAAATTATTCGATGATTACGTATGCATATATTGTTATAATTTAGAGAGAATTCATGCACTAAAACAAAAAGACCTTTTTTATTCTCAAATATAATTCAGCTTTTAATCTTTACTGCGGTGATGTAATATTAATTTACACATTTGTTTAGAGGTTGTTGTACTTTAGTCAGTCCAAAGCAGCAAACTGTCTCTTGACCGCCTGTTTGTCTGTATGAACTGTGTACATACAATACATGTTACCTGTCTGTTGGTTTAAGCCAATTCTAACCAGACTTTTCTCAGGATCATTATCACTGTGATAGTTCTGCACTGCTCCTTTTTCAGTGAAAAGTATGCACACATTCCTTGTGTATAATGCAGTCTATTCTTTGTGCATGATTCTCTGGTGTGTTTGATGTGTAGGAATGTGCTCAGATTGCCTTTGACTGTGGGATCTGGCCTGGCTGTGCAGCCCCAGCCTTCTCTTTTTCTTTCTTTTTTTTCTCCCCCATTTTCTCCCTACTCTTCTCTTTTCTCTTCCCTTGGCACACCTTCACAGGGTACTCACCCACTCACGCTTGTCTCTCTTTCAGCTTTGATTCTGTCCAAAAATATCCTCTGGCCTTTCCCATTCAATCGAGTGTCTTTTGTTATCTGCTCTCCCAGCTGTGCTTTTTCTAACTGATATTAGTGTTAAAATGATAAAATGATTGAGTAGATTTCCTAATTCACTTGTGCTATTATCCATTTGCAGCAACTTAAGAATTAATTATAAAATGTTTCTGCTGTTGTTTTTGTACACATGTTTTCCCACGATCTGATGATTCATTTCCAGTTCTTCTTTATGATGATGATTGATGTTCAGTAACATCAAAATTAAGCTTTTATGTCGATCAAGATATAGAATTATGTAGTTGCAACCCACCTCTGGAGTTTGTCCTTGTCAGTTGTTTGCTGTGCCACCACAAACCAAACTATTGAGCACTGACCCAGGTCTCCAATAGGCATTCACCAGCATTAGTCATCACTAAATCTGCTGGTTGAGACATGATGATCAGCTCCTCTGGCAGCTGTATACCGATGATGTTACAAAATACCTGCAGCGTCCCACGCTTACCAGTCAATGGTACAAAAAACCAAGTAGCAAGATAAACAATAAATTAAAGATGAGATTAATACCCCGATTGGGAGCAAGGGCCAACTTGCGATCTCGCAGCATGAAGATCCCATTGTGCTGTATTAGCAGACCTGGTTCAGGTTTCCGGGACACATTACTTAACCTGCCCACAGGCTTCTCCTCGCAGGACTCCTACTGTTATAAGCACAAAACACACAGCTGATTTAAACACCATGTATGGCTCACACTGGAAACTGAAACTGTAACCATAACAATAACAGACGTTGTTGAAACAGATTGTGTTATCTGATATGTTCATACAAAGTCTTCAGCTGCACATTTGGCAGATGAGTACCTGATAATTAAAAATGTGCAGCCTGGCTCACTTACAGCTGAAATGACAGCTAATACGAGCTGCTATTGCTAATTTGTTAAAAAGACGACAGACAGCCACTACTGAAAAAAGCCCACAAATACAAAAAAATGCTCTTACACTACACTGGTACATTTAAATACCAGTAGAAAAGTCCATATTGAAATTATAATGAACCACAACACATGAAAAAAGAAACATTTAAGCAGTTACAGCAGGATCCAAGTAATGCAGTCATGTGTCTAATGATTATGACGTTATCTAATTGTTTATTTGTAGATTACTAAGGCACTCAGAGACACACCCTCAGTTAACTACCGAGCAGATAGTTGATGGATTTGTAGTTAGATGGTTAAAGACGGTTGAAGACGCCTCATTAAAAAAAAACCCAGAACAGACTTTAGTGCAAAATGTTCCAGAGCCACACCTTTGTGTTGTATCTCTGAAAAATGTATCTATAATTGGTGTTAACTATAGATGATACTACACTTAGGAAACAGCCTATTTGCAATTTCTTTGACCTAATTCAAGACCCTTCTTAGAGGCATCCTGTTGCAGTATGGTTCTAAAATTCTGTTAACTTTACCATGTTAAGGACTATTTTAACCAGAAGGTGTGATATGCTGAGAAATAACTGAAAGTTAATCTTTTTTTGTGTATGGCAGTCACCTTAAAGACCTGGTTTCCCATGTGAGATGGATAACGAGCAAGAAAAGCGACCATTTGTTATCCACTATTTATTTAAAAAAACAACAACAATATTTTCATATGCCTAACAAATCTTGATTTATTTTATGCTTGTATAACTGTAAGTAGGTGTCAGATATTTACATAAAGATGTTAAATTCTCAGACGCCAGTTCTTAGGTGACTAGACGGATTTATTCAGACCGATTACGTAGTTGTGACCCTGTTTAGTCTGACAGCAGACGGGTCAGGCCACAGATTTACATCTGATTCCATGCGCATGCTCAAACTGATGTAACTGGACCCGTTTATTACAGAACGTTTTCAACTTCGAGGAAAACAATTCACTCAAATTCATAGAGTGGAGGTAATTTGTGGGAGTTACCTGGGAACACCCAAACCCATCCTTAATCCCCGCCAATCTAAGGCATGTCCTTTACACACATTTGCACACTTTCACAGGCCCAAATTATCTCCAGACACAAATAGAAGTCTAGGAATAGTACGGCTTAGTGCTGTGTTTTGGCGGCAGAGAAGGTGGCTGAATTCTCATAGATGCTGGATCAGACGACAGGAAAGAGACTGAGGAAAGGGATTAGTGCTGATGAGCTGCAACGGGGGGGGGGGGGGGGGGGGGGGGGGGGGGGGGGGGGGGGGGGCAGTAAGAGGGATAGGTGGGTGGCAGAGTGTCTTTCTATATTTATGTGCCACTTGTTTGTTTCAGTTCAGTGTGTGTGTGTGTGTGTGTTTTAAGAATGAAGGGATTAGAGAGATCATTGACGAAACTTAAAAAAAAGAAAAGAGTTATAAATTAAAGGGTCATTGTTGGGTCAGTGGTCCTTGTTTTTGTGTGTGTGGTGTACCTGTGTGTGTGTGTGTTAACACTGAACAGGCTGTAATCAGGAGACAGAGGGGAGACAGGAGGAGCTGCTGACACATAGCTCTCATTACTGTAATTTTCTCCCCACACACACCGTGTGTGTGTGTCTGAGAGACACTCATTGTAGGTCACTTGGGGGACATTACAAAGACCGGAATTTAATTTTTGAATTATTTTCTCGGTCACATGTACACCTAACTCTCACATCACCTCACGTTACTTCTTTTCACAGTTAAACAAGACAAGTCATTTGTTCACATCCCCTAATAATGCTGTGACCAATTTCTTCTTGGGGAGGTGGGGAAGGGCTGTTTATCTTTACAAGTTGGTGTGTGTGTGTGTGTGTGTATTGCAGTCTAACAAGCAGATTGTTTCGAAGCACTGGTGAATTGTATATTATAAAAATATAAGTAACAAAATGAATTTCAATAAGCTAAATAGTTACCAAAGCTTCAAAAGGGAATAAAATATTAAAATACAGTCATAAATAATTTATAGGCTAGCTGGTCTGTGCTCCCTCCCCCCCCCCCCCCTCACACACACACACACTTATTCCTGCCACTGGAGTCTTCTTCTTTTTCTTCTTCCTTAGACATTTTAAGTGTAGTCTTTATTTAACACTTGTATTCTCTGCGACACCATTTAATTTTGCATGCTAACAGCAAAACAAAAGAACAAAGTTCATTGTTAGCCTGCACAAGCAGTGTTCTGGGTTCAGAGAGCATTATGACATGCAGTTGCACTAATTGAACAGTATTTTGGTGAAAAACCAGAATATTTTGTAGAAGTGCAGTTTATGAGCCGTGTTTCACTAATGAGCTAACAGCAAATCCACAAACGTGTCGCTGTGTCAAAGATAGTGGGTATAAAGATGATCTACATGTAGGCCTTCTTTGTTCACTCAACGACAGCACATGGTTCACAGTTTTGAGCCACTTTGAACCAAGTGCCAATAAAACTGGTGCTCCAATCAACCAGGCTATTATTGTGTAAAATGTTGGTAGAGCCAACAACCAAAGTTTTTATTATTATTTATTAATTTCTTATCGTTGACCATATTTGTCGAGACAATAGCTCAGAATTGTAGGACCTATAATTAAATAAATAAATAGAAATAGAACTACTTGCGTCCTACTGTTGAAAGTAAATGTATTTTCTCAAACACATCGTCTGTCTAGATATAATTAGACGAATAAACACAATTAAATAAATAGTCTCGAAACCAGCTTTGTTTACCTGCCTGGTTGTTTCTTTTTGGATTCTGAAATTATATTTGCTCTGTGATGCTCTGTTTGCATGTTCGTACCTGTGTTGTATCTATGGGTAGGTTTAAATGATGCAAGAACTCCTCCCTTAATTGTCTTAATGTGATTCAAGCAGTTACTAGAGTGAGAAAAAGAGAGGCGGTGCGTTCGCCTTCTGTTGTTGGGAAAAAATCCTGCCTTTGTTTTCTATAGGAGTGTATTTATTTAGGTGTGTGTGTGTTTGCTTTCCACTCGCTCTCGAACATTAGAGGTGTGTGTGCGTATGCGTGTGTGAGCGCAGGCCCGGCCACAGGAGAATCTGAATAATATTTTTCATATTTATATTAGAGAAGTAAGGATGGTCGATACTTAGAGTTCTACATTTATTATCAGCAGTCTTACCTGGAGCCCAGGCTTTAACAGTCTTCATACTGTTAGTTTAAAGCACTCGGTACGCAGCCCGTCTGTGTGTTTTTCTGTGTGCGTGTTTGATTGTGTGTAACTATCTTGATGGTCCGTATTTGTCTTGGAATTGTCAGTTGAACAGCATGTTTGTCAAGAGGTTATTTTCTTTCAAGCTTGTTGGTAGTGTATCATATTATTTATCTTTCTGGGTTACGTTAACGTATAATTTTTTTTGGCTGTCGGTGGGTAACTTAACTTACTTTTCTCTTGTTGGTCTTGAGCACAGCCATATCTGCCGAGTTAAAAAAAACTGCTTAAGTTTAAATATGGGTGCATTTGTAAAAGTCCATGTACAGTAGTTCACCCACTGCCTCGTTATTTCACATTTGCACCAATTTTAGTCCAGCTCTACGAAAACGCTAATTGGGCTCGACACTAACGATAGCCAATTTGGTGCCCTAGGTGAGATTATTGTTTGGTGCCCCCTATCGCCCCATTGCAATCTTTTTGTCCTTCCTTTTTTTCAAGGGCGTGCAGGATCTCCAGCCCCAGGTGCTCAGGTGATCGCCTGTGTGGGGTTATGTATGCCCTTAAGTTTTCCCAGATTTTAATCATAATAATGCATGTTTTTGGAGTGGTGCATGCATGTGCATATTAATGAAGGTTTGTAAAAATAGAAAGTGAACCCAATTTGTCAGATAATGTTTTATTTATTCTGATGGTTGCTACAATACAATATCTTATTAACAGGGATGGATCAGTACTGACACAGGTGTTGGTAGATCAAAGATGGGCCTCAGTTTCTCTTCTCAGTTCAGTGGCACAGTGGACAAATGAGGCTTTTACGTCCCGGCCAGTTGTGTGTTGGAATAATGCAACAAGACTTTCTTAATTAATTTATGGGAGATGCAACCTGACCACGAAACGCTGTGGGTCAAGAACGACATAAACCAAGGACATAAACATAAAGCAGTGTATGATATAAATCTCACCGCTGAAAACTCAAATGACTATAGTCCAAATTGCGATTACAGCCCATTATTGCACACGACGACATCACAATGATGAAGCAAGAATTGCTGCACTGCCCTCACGAACACTCACACAACCATGTGCCTCTGAGCGACAGAGCTGTCTAAAGTCTGGCAGGCTGCAGATTTGTAGCACATTCAGGTGATCATCTTATCTGCTGTCACCGCCGGTGAAAGATTAGAGGATCCAAGCTCACCAAGTTACACACACACACACACACACACACACTCACACTCAGACCCCCTTTATAGTTTTGTTGTCTTGCTGTGACTAAACTTTTGTCCCCTCCTGTTCAGTAAATGTTGATGAGCCAATGGCTAATTAATAGAATCATTTTGATGGCAAATATCCACATCCTGTTACCTAACCTCCATCCTTTTTATTATTCCCATTGTCACAGAATGTCAACAGACATACGCATATTTGTCTTTCCTTATTTATGAGGACACCTGTTGACACAGTTGTTTTAATGATTTCAGCCGCCGCCTTACAAAGGATTCCTAAAACTCGCTCTACCTGGAACCTATAACCGAGTCCCGACTCCAGGAAGGTCGTCTGATCAGCCAATAAAATTTCACAACAGGATTTTGTTCAAAACTGCTTCAGGTCACAGTCACATTCAGATCAAGAATAATGAATCATCACTACACAGAGTCACAAAAGCATGAATGTGCTGTACTGATATATATATATATATATATATATATATATATATATTTTAAATCTAAATGATCACTTTTGTTTCCAGAACTGTAATTCCAAGAAAATATTGAATTTGAAGTCACGTTCATGGCCTTCATGTTATGATGACAGCACACACACACACACAAACCAATGCACATCAACGTTGCCATATTCTGAGTGACTTCTGCTGAGAGGCATTTCCGTTGTTGAATTTTCTGAATGGTGCCGGAGGTTTGACGGTCAACACTTTTTTTTTTAACACTGGCTGCCTCCTCCACTCCAGTTCTCCTTCTCTCCTTCTCCATCGTTCCTCTTCTCCTCAACTGGCTGGCGGTGATAAATGAGTCAATTATGTCTTTGTGTATGTGTGTGTGTGTGTGTGTGAGGGAGAGAGAGAGAGAGTGTAGGCTGCACTAGAGAAGGAGAGCAGAGAGAACGTTATTACCCGTTGCAGCGAGGGGTAATGTTGAGGTATTAATCATATTGTAATTTTCATCTGCCCAAAGACACCACAGCAGTATAGCACCACACCATACCACCACACCCCCCTCTATCAATCTCCCTGCCTGCTGCAAACAAGGTGGTAAAGACTGCCAAAGGCCCAAAGTATGTGTGTGTGTGTGTGTGTGTGTGTGTGTGGGAGTGGGTGGTGTGGAGAACAAGTTACAGTCGGTGCGGAGGTAACAAGGGAGGTGTTTATACTTGACCAGGGCACATATAGAATGCTGTGTGTACCAGTTGGACACAGGCCGTGTGTGTGATTGTGTATGTGTGTTAATTTGAAAATGTAGCCTTTGGCTTTATCCAGTTTAGAGGGCACAAGAGACTGGTTTGTTTGTGAGGAAGGAGACGCAGGACACACAGGACAGTCACCACGGTGGAGGTGTTTGTATAGGATCACCAGATCAGATGTGTGTACGTATGTGTGTGCATGCAATGAAAGTTAACAACTAGCTGTTGATGGAGCAGCGATTACCCCAACCCCCCCCACATAGACATAGACACATCGGTCTGGTGTTTAAATCACGTGTTTTTAATATTAAAGATTTTGTGGTTCTGGATCTAAAGAACGTCTTTGATGCATGTGACCAAGACTCAACCCTGGACACATGTGAACGCTCATGTCCTCTGGTCCAATACAGTTTCATAACGAACACACTGTTTAACAGTAAAGTCTTTTTTGAACTAGCCAAATACAGCACATTGATCTGCTCAGATTTCTGCTGGCCTGGACTCGTTTTTTTTTTTCCTCACCCATATTTCATACCAGTATTAAAACTAAAACAAAGCAGATTTATTACATATGATCTGTAGGAATTGCCAAATTTGACCCACTTAAAACAGATCCTCAGACTTCTGTGAAACTTGGCAGAGTGTGCTCGAGAAGGAGAAAAGCTTATGTGGAGAGCCGCAAAGACAGATAGACTTACTGGTAATTTGGGAAGCAGCAAATTTGGGAGGAGCGCGCAGCACGTGGATAGACTGAAAATTGTTCAGAGCGAGCAGGAGACACCTCGGATGTGCCTGCCTGCACTTTTGGCTGGATTTCAGGCTCTGAGCGTGACTTTGTCTATTTCTGCTCTGCTCAGAGGTGATAATAGGCTGTCAACACCCAGTCACCCCTGCCCCCCCCCCCCAACCCCCCTCCTCCTGGGTGGGAGAAAAAAGATACAGAGGAAGGAGGGGCCAGGGGTGATATTTGAAGTAGAGAGTTATTGGTTGTTATCTTGCTAATTGCATTGCATATTTTTATTTTCAAGACGACGCAGAGCAAGAACTCATCCAATTTGTTTGCTTCCTCTTGTCTTTTTGTGGCAGTTTGAAACTGGAGTGTGAGAAGCTGGCTACGGAGAAGACAGAGATCCAGAGACACTACGTTATGGTGAGACACACACACACACACACACACACATACACAGGCCATGTTTTTTTTTTTCCACGTACACTCACACCAGTTTCAGTGCCAAGCCTGATGAATCCCTTTCATCTGCTAACAGCTGCCAAACAACACCCACAAAAAAACCACACACTAGACCACACACACTATAAGGCCACAGAATAAACAGCACTTATATGGGTGTGCAGCTTTGTACATGTGTTTAAAAAAAATTTGTGTGTCTAAGATATGCCATTTTGAACCATCTGTTCAGGCCTCCGCACAAAAACTTTTTTTTTTTAAATTTATTTGTTGCCAACCAAAGTGCGTTTGTAATGTTGACAAAACTCCTGATTTCTCATAGCTGGCTGCCAACATCTGTAGGATTAATAATAGTGTATACATTATTGATTTAAAAAAATAAACTAAATGGCCATCACTTCCTAACAGTCACCAGTTAGACTGAGGTTAAGCTTTTCCTCTAGTTCTTGTTCATTTGTGTTTTTTTTTTTTTTTATTGTAACAAATGATTCTCAATAGACGACAGCAGAAAGAAGTGTGCTCTGAGCTCAGTCTTCTGTGGTGGTCTGTATATGTTAGAGGAAACATTGATTAAGGTTTTTAAGCGCAGGCTCAGACTTCAGACCTAGTCTTGAAGTCAGCGAAGCTGCAATGGTGAGTTACCTGTGGCCCACGACACCACAGCTGACCCAGTGCTGGCTGCCCAGTGCCCACTATGTCAATAAGAACGATGTAGTAAGGCTGGCACAAAGATAGGGCTGGTGTGGGGGATTGAAGTCTCTGTGATTGGTAGAGGGGGGTTGTTGACATCAAGCACAGGCAAGGTCTCCTTCCTTGGCTGTTGATTTGGGGGAGTTTGGAAGTTGCTAAGCAACAGCCCAAAAAATTGGCATACCAACTGCCAAGGAGAGCTGCCAGGAAAGGCGTGTTGTGTGGAGGCACACAGACAAACACGCACAGAAAGAGAGAGCACGCACAGACACACACACAATGCTGAAAGAAACATGCACACAGAGGGCAGAGAGCCACACTCCTACACAGATGCAGACCTGTGCTGAAAACACACACACACACACACACACACACACATCCATGCTAACTGTCAGAAAGGATGTCTGGAGAGAGAGGACCCCTGCCACCTCCTCTCCCATACTGCCAGGCTGTTATGGCTGCCCAGCTGCCAATCTTATCTCTCCACAGCCAGCCACGCTGAAAAGCAAATGTCAGCCTGTCACTTTTTGACTTTAAAATGTTCCCTCTTTTCATCCTTTTCTAAAGGTAGGGAAACAGACAGACTTCCTCCTGCATTTCTCGCAGCCCCCTTGTACTTTTGGCCAAAAGTTTGGGTCAAAGACTCCTTTCTGACCTGATATTAACATCTGGTCCGAGTGATTTGTTTACATGTAGATAGCTAGAGCACTCACAATGCCCTAAATGCAGCCTGACCTCCCCCATATCAAGTCACTCACCACGTTGGGGGGAGTCATGTGAGGATAAATGTCACCTGTCTTCAGGACACATTAATTACAACTGCTGTAGCTGCAGTTGCACAGTAAACGGTATTTTTTAAAACAAATAATGGCCTAAACATTTGGTTATTGACTGTATGATTTTTCTTTCCTTCTTTTTTTTTTTTTTTTTTTTAACAAAAGGATGCAGAACTACAGTTTTTTTTTTTTTTTTTTTAACAAAAGGATGCAGAACTACACTGTGGTAGAGAATCCTGTTCTTTATTGTGTGCCTTTAACTTTAGACAGACTACAGCACCTCACCCTCAGACACATGTGTGCCATTAGACATTTCAAAACATCATCCTGTGTTTTACGATCAGACGTAACGTCACTGTTTCTGACTACAGCACAGAGGAAGTTGCATCCGATCACATGTGGTTTAGGAAATGCTGAACACGTTTTAATGCCAGGTGGGAACAGGAAGGGGCCAAAAAACTCATAGTGTTCCACGATGATGTCAACAGTCCACTCGTCTTCTTCTGCCCGGTGACTGACTCTGATTTGGCTTCTGGCTTTCAGAATGTGCTTCAATAAAACAGAGTCAAGGTGAAATGGATGGAAGTTTGCATATAGGAACATCTGGTCATTTCACAGTGCACTCTTTTGGGGGCGGTGTTGGCACTGTCTGAAGCTCATGGTGTAGGAGAAGAGTTTTTTTTTTGTTGTTTAGATAATTGTTGATGTTATGTTTTTTTATTGACAATCTGATCTGAAGTAATTATATTAACAAACACACGTAAACAAACTAAATGGAATAAATAACTGCATGGAAATTCCTCCACCTTTCTGTGTATATTTCCAGTAACTTCATGTGTTGTATAAATGTATAAATTTTATGTTGGGGTTTTCATTGCTGGATTTAAATCAGTCTGATGCAATGATTGAACATTTTTATTCCTTTATGTACACAAACACAATGTGTTCTCTCTTGAGTTGTGTTTAACCATTTATTATTATTATTTCCTTGCCATGCAGTTATTAGTAATACGTGTTTAATAATTAGGGCAGCCTGTGGCCTAGGATTTCGCTTGTTATCAGTGGAGGTTTGAATCTCTCCTTGGTGAGTTGTGGGGCGTTGAGCAAGCACCAATTCCCTGGCTCCCGAGGAATGGGTTAATGTGGGACAAGTTTTGTGTTTTGTAAATATACCTGTATTTGATTTTAATTTTTAAAGAGTACATTGACATCCCTGTAGTCTTTTTCATCTTCTTGCCACCTGCATTAATATGCTAACAAGTGTTTTCTGTGTTTCAGTATTATGAGATGTCCTATGGCCTTAACATTGAAATGCACAAACAGGTGGGTGCTCTCACTTCTTTCCTCATATTATGTGTGTTTCTAAGTGATCACTGTTCCTCTAAGAGAGTGCGTGGAACTCACTTTTTTATCACAGACTGATAAATAACCCCCCCCCCCCCCCCCCCACCCCCCCCCCCCACCCCCACTCATCTCCCA